CACGCTGGAGACAAGGATTCCTCGAGGCCTTGCTTTCATATCAGGCCTTTCAACCAATTGTTAGAAGTCCGTTATCGTATACAGGACCTGCTTTGGCGCATTGGGTCTGCTTGATAATCTTTTGGCTCTCGTCGTATTGGCCTCCTGGTGTCCTTAGGACCACCTCGTGGTCCCGTTCCATACTGGGGATGCTGTCTATATAAGCTAATGTCATTGGTTGACCAAAATGGCTCGAATGCATAGATGAGTAAGAACATGCTTTCGGTGGATATGCATGTACCATAAGACCATGTGCGCATTTCGGTTTCGAACATCCATTAGCTTCTCCCATCGGCTGGGTAGTACAGGCATGTGCATGGAGGCTTGCCAAAGTTTAAGTGGGTCAAAGAAGGTCAGAAAATGTGGAGGGTCAGGCACGTCTGTAACTTGATTGCCGCCGTAAATATCAGTGATGAATGGAAAAAGAAGCACGAGACCGGCCCGCCTCATTAGAAATAAGAAATGCCCGTGCCATTGGCACATATATGCAGCGATATATCTCTCGCACCTTTACCGTTCTCTAATTGGCCACTGGCACCCGGTACTCCAGTTCGTTTTCACACCCCGTCCCGTCCGACGGGAGGGCAGCAGATTTCGCCGATGTTCGGCCAGAGGCCAGTGTCGTTTGTCAGCTCGGCTAAAAATGGCGGCCGGCCATTCCGCGAGACGGACGGGGCCAAGTCGCATGCCGCGACACGAGGCCACGGGTGCCCCCACGCCGGTGAGGACGTCCGTCGGGCCGCCGGTCCCGTCGGAGGGGTGGTTCACAGGCCACCAGTGCGGTGGAAGACCGGGATACAGACCGCTGGTCTGGCCAGTGCCAGGGGTAGGCTGGGACCGACGCCCACTAACATTCATTTGTGCAAAGCACCATCCTGAGCTAGCGCACCCGTGAAGGCAGTTGTGGAGCATGGCACATCACCTGTCTATAGTCATGCCTTCCTGTCATATCGTGTGTAACTCCAAACAGAACATACGTTTGTCTCCAGGCAGCACTCACCACTAGAACGAAAACACTAACCGCTCCCAAAAAATCCCACACCTGAAAGAACCCCTTAGTTTTCACCGCACCGTCCAGAATTTTTACAGCATTCACAGCCGTTGTGCCACAACGAATACGTTTGCCGTGTGGTCGTGATGTTTCATGGATCCACGTACTTTATACTACACCGTGTCTGACCCTGACGTCCTTAGTAACATGGCTTTCCTTTACCACAGGGCGTCGTAATGTTGGACGGATAGGCCTCGTCCCTCCTGAGGGAGGGGCTGCATCGGGACAAAACCAGGTAAGCTGGAGCGAACGACGCGTCCAAAATGATACGCTCTTGTCAGACTCTATTAACTCCCGTCATTATTCATAGGTGTAGCCAAACGACGGGCTGTCTTAACAAAATGGGGTCTGAAAGCACTTCGGCTTGTAGGCCCGAGTTTGGATGATGCTCATGATGACTTATTGCACTGCTCGCCAATCCAAATGACCTGGTTTGCGTGAAATGTGCATCGCAACAGTGACCTGGCAATGCGACTGGGCAAACAACATAGATCAGTACAGGCCAAAAAAGGCCAGTCTTACCCCCACCCCTACCACTTGGTGGTGAGCTACGGCCCTTGGCATTTTGGTGTAGTTGTGGCCAATGACACTCTTATCGTGACACTCTTGTCTCGCAGTGTCATTATATTAACGTCACGCTCCGACCATGCCGGCCGCCCAGCACACTGTCCGCGCTCGCTCCGCCGCTCGCCTGTTCGGCGCCTCGACCCGGTGATGCCCGCGGGACGGGCGCCCCTGACACATAGGCAGCCCGCAGCGCACCAGGCTGTGGCCGCAAGCCCACGCTACAGAAGTGCCCCACCTTTGAGGCATATTTGAAAAACAAATTATGGTGAAGCCTCAGATCTAGTTAGTCTAATACTAGCACTAGCACTAGCACATTTTTGTCTAAATAGTGTTTCAAGCTTTCGTAGCACTTATTATGCAAATATTTTGACACATTAGTGTACTGAAAACATCGTAGAACACACACGTTGCAAAAAGCAAGGGAAATGAAATGCATCCCTTCCATTGTCATGAGCAAGGAGTCAAATGACTTTTCTCCCCCTGGGTCGGCTACTTCAAATGGAACTTCTGAGCTATTCATAAGGACTCCGAGAGAACGAGCGATGCTGATTACAGGAAATGTTCCACATTTGAAGATCCTGGAGCAAGCATCATATATGATGAAATAATCTCATTTATAACTATTGGTACACTTTTTAAGTGGAAAATACTGCTTAAGACAGCACAACTTCCTGTTAAGTAAATCTGCTACTCAATGCATCTTGGTTTGATTACGGCATCGTACCTTGCACAACATTGATTGAGAGCCAATTGGCGGCCGTCATATCTGGAAATCGCGCTCACGAACGCCAGATATAAACGCCTCGACGATTAGACTTTTCTTCGCCTAGATCGCTGCACGGCTTATGAAAAGACAGGATTTGAATAGCATTATGATGACGGCATGAATGCCAAGGTGACTTTAACATACTCTCACCACACTCATTTTCCTATGTTCGTGGGCGTATAGCTCAGAAACTAGATGAGCTTGGGTCTTGAGAAGGGCGATATTGTGAACAGCACCGAAAGACCTTCAAGGTGGTTATTTTAGTTCAACCACCCACATAGATATGGGACGCTTCCTTCAATGCAGCAACAAGCAAAAAGTACAAATAGGTCGGATATTTCCTTCATCGGGACTCGGACCACCCAAGCAGGACGTTACTCTTCGGCTGCCCCACAAGGAAGCCGGACGGCCAGAGGTCATCTTTGTGACCTGGCCGCAGCTGTCGCCCGCTCCACAAGGGCGTCGGGCCGGGAGCAGCGTCCGACTCAGCCCTGACGCTGCTCCGCCGCAACTGTCGCTCTCCAAGGGCGTGGGCCGGGAGCAGCGTCCCATTCAGCCCTGACGCTGCTCCGCCGCAACTGTCGTCCGCTCCACAAGGCGCTGGGGCCGCGGAGCAGCGTCCGACTCAGCCCTGACGCTGCTCCGCCGCCGCTGTCGCCCGCTCCACAAGGGCGTGGGGCCGGGAGCAGCGTCCGACTCAGCCCTGACGCTGCCCCGCCGCAGCTGTCGCCCGCTCCACAAGGGCGTGGGCCGGGAGCAGCGTCCCATTCAGCCCTGACGCTGCTCCGCCGGCGCGACGGCCGTGGCCGAGACGCATTCCGCGGGCTTGTGCCAAATTCTTTGGAAGACGGGCCAGTGGCGAAATATGAATCGGGACAGATGGCCATTAAATCACAGAGAAGCGGCCGACCTGAGTGTAGAGCTAGATGTTTTAACTGAAGAGACGTGAAAAAATGGGAAAGCAGCAGAAATAGGCGGCCAAAGGCCATCTTTAAGTGCAAGGAGGGGCGGAGAGAGGGAGACCGAGTGTGGAGAGAGAGAGAGAGGGAAAGGCAAGAGCGTTTGTGGGGGGGGGGGGGGGGGGGGGGGGGAGGGGAGGTCGACGATCACGTTTCAGCCTCTCATTACTGCGGCAAACTATAACTCTTAACGGATACCCCACCAGCCATTTTCCGCGAATGTGACATGACGGCATCACAGGCAAAAGTTTCTCCAGGCGGCAGATGATACGGCGGATGTGTGTGGTGGTGGTAGCGCAGCTTCGGCCGCCGCGCCGGGGGCGGCACAAGAGGCGCGGAGCACGCGGTGCCGGGAGGACGCTGTCGGGCCAGCTGGCTAGCAGCGCCCCGAGCGGCCACAAATACACCTGGAACTGCACGCGGACACAAATGGCGCGACGCGCGCCGCCGCCAACCATTGCAGCACACCCGCGCGGCGGCGTGCGACCCGACGGGGCGAAGCGCAGTTGCCGCTGCTGGGAATGTGGACCTGCGTTGTGCCAATGAGGTCCGGCAACAGACAGCAGCAGCAACATGTGTTGCGTAGCGGCACATGTAGGCTGGTGTAGGCATCTGGTGGAGATATAAAGGACTCTGAAGGACCTGCCTCTGTCTCCTGCCTGTGAAAAATTCGTTGACTCAAAGAGGGGGGCGAGTTGCTTTGCTCGAAATTCACTCACGCTCGGACATGCCATGGTCAGTGACAGCAGCAAACATGCCAGGAGAGCATGTGAGTGTCCACTGCCGATAACGGGCGCCAGTGAGGTGTGTACCAATGTCGACCTGAACCGCTGCGCTTGCCAGGGAGCACAACTACAACAACACAACAACGCCCGACACAAGCGCTGGTAAGCGCTTGTGTCGGGTGCACCGGCACTGTGGATGTGTACACTATGCGTCCCTATGGCGGGCATGCGGATGTGTGTGTCCGCAGTGGGCATATATGTAACATCCCTGTGAAGAATCCAACAAAGGGTACGACCGCTGCAGAGGGGATGTGCGCTGTGGTCTAGTGGAGTGTAACAAGACGACAATAGCATAACGTAGCATGTGAAAGATCACAATTACCGTATTCAAGTGGTCAGTAGTTACAAACAAGGACACATGCCGAGTTTGTCTCAACGCCCACCATGCTCCCTTTGTACTAGTGACGGACGTATGCGTGTTGAATGTCGGCGACGGACATATGCGTGCTGTATGTCGGTGACAGACTATGCGTGCTGTGTGTCGGTGACAGACGTATGCGTGCTGTATGTCGGTGACAGACTCATGTGCGCTGTATGTCGGTGACAGACGTATGTGTGCTGTATGTCGGTGACCGACGTATGCGTGCTGTATGTCGGTGACGGACGTATGCGTACTGTATGTCGGTGACACACGTATGCGTGCTCTATGTTCGGTGACAGACGTTGCGCGCTGTATGTCGGTGACAGACGTAGCGTGCTGTATGTCGGTGACAGACGTATGCGTGTTGAATGTATGCGACGAACGTATGCTGCTGTATGTCAGTGACAGACGTATGCGTGCTGTATGTCGGTGACAGACGTATGCGCGCTGTATGTCGGTGACAGACTTAGTGTGGCCGTATGTCGGTGCAGACGTATGCCGCTGTATGTCGTGACAGACGTATGCGTGCTGTATGTCGGTGACAGACGTATGCGTGCTGTTTTGTCGGTGACAGACGTATGCGTGCTGTATGTCGGTGACGGACGTATGCGCGCTGTATGTCGTGACAGACGTATGCGTGCTGTATGTCGGTGACAGACGTATGCGTGCTTGTCTGTCGGTGACAGACGTATGTGTGCCGTATGTCGGCGACAGACGTATGCGCGCTGTATGTCGGTGACAGACGTATGCGTGCTGTATGTCGGTGACAGACGTATGCGTGCGTATGTCGTGGACAGACTTATGCGCGCTGTATGTCGGTGACGGACGTATGCGTTCCATATGTCGGTGGCGGACGTGTATGTCAGTGTGTCAGCAATGGACAAAAAAATGTTCTTAGTGTCGTGACAGACATGACAGTCCTGCGTGCCAGTGACAGATATGTGAGTCATGTGTTCATGCGTCGAGTTGGGATCATATGCCTGGTAACTGACTTCTGCACTCCGTGTGCGAATAGCATACAAAGGCGTTTGCGTGCCTGTGACCAACGTGTGAGCTTTGTGAGTTAGTGGCGTACGCATGCTGGCGTCAGCATAATCGTGTTAGGTGCATTTATCATTGCGGACGCGTGCACTGTGCAGTGGTGCCTGCGCCAGCAACGACGTGCAGCTGTGCGTGGGGACTTACGACAGACGCTTGCGCTGCGTGCACCAGCGACCCGCACCTTTGGTGGCGTACACCAGCGACCTACACCTGCGCTGCGTACAACCCAGCGACCTACAACCTGCGTGCATACACCACCGACCTGTATCTGCGCTGTGTTCACCAGCGGCCTACACCTGCACTCGTACACCTGCGACCTACACCTGCGCTGCGTACACCAGCGGGCTACACCTGCCTTGTGTATACCAGTGACCGTTCCCGAGGTGATGTGACGTTTACGGCCTCTGTGTACACCGGCCTCTGTGTACGGCCTCTGCGTACACCAGCGACCTGTATCTGCGCTGTGTACACCAGCGGCCTACACCTACCTGCGCTGCGTACACCGGCGACCTACATCTGCGCTATGTACACCAGCGCCCTACACCTGCGCTGCGTACACCAGCGGCCTGTACCTGCGCTGTGTACACCGGCGGACCTACACCTGCGCTGTGTACACCAGCGACCTACACCTGCGCTGCGTGAACCAGCGACCTACACCTGCCTTGTGTATGCCAGTGACCGTTCCCGAGGTGATGTGACGTGTACGGCCTCTGTGTGCTCTTCAGGTGCGCCGGCGGCGGCTGCCGCCATGGACTCGTTCGACTCGCTGCTCACGTGCTGCATCTGTCTGGACCGCTTCCGAAACCCCAAGCTGCTGCCATGTCAGCACACCTTCTGTATGGAGCCCTGTATGGAGGGCCTGATCGACTATGTCAAGCGCCAGGTGAGATGTCGTCGCTCGCTGGTGCCCGAGGCGCGGCCGGCCACTCGGTCGCCGGTCGCTGGTGTCCGAAGCGTGACCGGCCACTCGGTCGCCGGTCGCTGGTGTCCGAAGCGTGACCGGCTACTCGGTCGCCGCCCGCTGGTGCCGAGGCGCGGCCGGCTACTCGGTCGCCGCCCGCTGGTGCCCGAGGCGCGACCGGCCACTCGGTCGCCGCCCGCTGGTGCCCGAGGCGCGGCCGGCCACTCGGTCGCCGGTCGACCGGGCGTCCGTCACGATGAACTTTGGGGCTCTGCATGCAGCTGGTGCTACAGAATACCGCGAAATGGATGGTGGTGTAGATGGAAAAATTGGAGACGTAACTTCGAACCGCTACACTGCCGAAAGTGGATGCCGTGGCTGGTTAAAGGCTCTATTTACTTATCTGCAGGGCTGGCGGGGTTTTTTAAAGGAGGGGTCAGGGAGGTCAGCACCAGGGAAGGCGGAGTGTGTCCCACCAGATAAATTGGGGAGGCTCCTCTTTCTCCAACTTAAGCATTGCAACCGCATGTAGAGCATCAAAGTTCAGATCAAGGAGGCCCCATAATTGAGGTAGAGAGTAATAACTCGGGTTCAGAAGACCCTTTGCTAGGTCAAGATACACGTTTTCTGGGTCCTGAAACCACCGTTATAAACAAGGTGGCCAGTGTTCTAGATCAGGAGACCCAATTTTTATTTGAGCAGGGCCATTTTCTGGCTCGGGAGGTCCCCGTTACAGAATAGGAGGCCTCTGTTCTGGATTAAAAGACACTCTTGACATTTAGGAGGCCTCATTTCTGGAACAGGAGATCCCATTCACGCATCAGATGGCCACGGTTCCGGATCAGGACGCTCTGTTTTGGGATAGCGAAGCCCTCTGGCTAGATTTGGAGCCACCTTTGCGAGTGGGAAGCATCCTGTTCTGGATTAGGAGGCCTCTCTGTGCATCGGGATGCCGTGTTCTGGATCAGGTGGCCCTGTTTTACATTACTGAGATATTTTGCTGGATAGTTAGAGGGATTCCATCCAAGATATTTTAGCTGTCGACATTTGTTTATTTGGATATGATAAATGTAGCAGTTGAAAAGCGGGCACATGCGCTCGGTGCCCCTGCTCCTTGAATGCGACGCTGCGCAGGAGGTCTCCCTGTAAAGAGGCCCCATTTCGTCCAGGACACCCCTGAAAAATCCTGCCCCAACATCTCAAAACCCGTGGCGCCGCCCCTGGTGGGAGAAGCCACATTGCGCTGAGTCCCGCGCTGTACGGGCTGATGGGGCTTGAGTGTCAAGAGTGTCCTTTCCTTGATCTGCCGTGCTTTTCTGTGAGCCTCCTCGCCGGTGGGGTTACTTTATCTCGTACAGTATCATCAGTATCATCAGTATCACCAGTATCACCAGTATCAGTATCAGATGACAGCATCATTTTCCCGCCCACATTACATATTTTGTGTTTCCAGACATAACTGGCTCGTTCCTGCTGTGTGCGTTCTCCGTGGTGTCGATGGCCTGGGCTTGGTGAGGGCCCACCGCAGTGTTGTGCTGCTTCTGAACACTGTCCCCATGTTGTGGCGCAAACGAATCATCCCAGCGTATTGTGGAAAATAACACCATCGACAATAACAAAAGTCTGTTTTTTTGGAGGGGGGGGGGGGGTTATCGCCCGTTCGGCCAGCAATGACCACTTGAAGGCTGTGGGATGAAAGTAGATAGTGGAGAAGAGAGGGGCAAGATCACAGCACCTACGACTCCTCCACCGAGACTCGGTCCGCACAAAAACTCTTCTCCGGGGTATGTGCGACTGCTGGGACGGGGCCAGGGGACATTCATGGCTGTTGCATGCAGGCCGCTTCGGATGAGCGGGGCGTCGTGGGTATGCTGGACGAGTGCGAATAAGGACCGGAGGGCGGGCGCGCAGAGGCTCGAGAGTTTTTCTGTGCGCCGGCGACGTCCGAAGTGGAACGCACTGTTTGTGGAAATCGCATGCACTTGACTACTGCAGCCATCATGTTCCTGGACAGTGATATGATCAGCAATATAATGCCTGTCACGTATCGCGCTGTCATCGACACGCCGCCTGCGTCACCACAAACGATGTGCCCACCAAATGTGGAAGTCTGAATCCCACTTGAGGCTTGCATTTGCTTCGGTCGATTTGCTAGACACAAATTTTACTAGTCTTGCTTTCTCGTGCGCGTATTTAATTTCGAAATTACAGTTCCAATGCAATGTGATTTTAACAACTTGCGAGGTGCAACGTTATATTGAGTTCATGTTGTAATGCACACTTGATCGTCCCCGTTGGTCAGTCGCTCAGTAGCGTGCGCAGGATTTGTCTGTTGCCGGGTGCTGAACGAGTTCAGCTCACGCGAGCCTCCGAAACGGCCAGCACGGTCTTGATGCAACACTGATGTGACGTAAGTCATTTGTTCTAGCCCCGGACAGCTCATTCATAATTCGCATGCGACAGCTGAGCTAAATACCTTGCAGCAGACAGCTCCGAACACCCGATCACGTTACCAATGTCCATTACCGGCAGTTTAAGACACCTGGTATGTCGTGTTACGTTTTGAAACTATGCTCATGAAAACAACCGAGGGGAGGGGCTAGGGAGCTGAGGCCAGGCTGTGGTCTTCCATTGCCCGTGGCAACTTAGCATTATGAAGATTTAGAAAAAAGAATCTGCGTTAACACGTGGTTTTGGATTTCTCACTTCTTGCGACACTCTTACGCCATGCAAGGCAGCGACAGCCACCTGGCGCATGGTTGAGACCGACGCCCATGTGCCCCGTCGACAGGTGAAATGTCCCGAGTGCCGCGCGGAACACCGGATCCCGTACAAGGGCATCCAGGAGTTCCCCAGCAACGTGACGATGCAGCGCTTCCTGGAGATGTACCAGGCCATCTCGGGCGAGCTGCCCGACCCCAACCAGGGCCAGGTTATGGAGCGGTGCGCGGTGAGTGCCAGTCCGGTAGCCCCCGAAGAGCATGGCGCTGTGCCAGCCGGCATTACGTCTCCGGGCCTAGCAATGCTTAAAAACGCACCTGGTGTCTCTAAAGAAGCCACAGGAGGCTGCCGGGGGACGCGGGGAGGGAGATTTTGGAGAGGGTTCGAAGCAGAGCTCGGGTCAGGCGGTCTCCCCGCTCCCGCGCCTCCTGACGCTCCAGCGCCGCCTGACGCTCCAGCGCCGCGATCCTCACCTGCTGTGTGAGCCGCACGGTGAGACGCTCTGCCGAAGTCTGGCCCTTGGCCGAGATGGGCCGCCACGGCTTCACTGGCTGTCAATTCGCAAACCACGGGGCGCTTCACCAACCATGGATCGCGTTGTAGCATGCCTGGTAGTGAGTGTCCCTGAACATCCTGCCCGATCGTACCTGTACGGGCCTGAACACCCCACCCGGTCGGACCTGCCCGACCCTGAACACCCTACTCGACCGGACCGGTCCAACCCTGAACACCCTGCCCGACCGGACCCGTCCGACCCTGATCACCCTGTCCGGTCGAACCGGTCCGACCCTGATCACCCTGTCCGGTCGAACCGGTCCGACCCTTATCACCCTGTCCGGTCGAACAGGTCCGACCCTGAACACCTTTTCCAGTCGAACCCGTCCAACCCTGAACACCCTGTCCGGTCGAACCGGTCCGACCCTGATCACCCTGTCCGGTCGAACCGGTCCGACCCTGATCACCCTGTCCGGTCGAACCGGTCCGACCCTGATCACCCTGTCCGGTCGAACAGGTCCGACCCTGAACACGCTGCCCGGCCGGACCCGTTCGACCCTGAATACCCTGCCCGGTCAAGTCGGTCCGACTCTGAACATCCTGCGACCGGTCCGACCCTCAACACCCGACCCTGAACACGCTGCCCGGCCGGACCCGTTCGACCCTGAACACCCTGCCCGGTCAAGTCGGTCCGACTCTGAACATCCTGCGACCGGTCCGACCCTCAACACCCAGTCCCACCCGTCTACCACTCATGGATGGTCGCCAGGCAGAGGCGCGTTCAAGGGCATTTTGCGGGTATCATGTACACACCCGAGGAAAGATTGCGCTGCCAATAATGCTAGTGACGCGCTGTAAGCTGCAGTCAGTTGTTACATAACATCAGGGATTTCGGGGTTATTTGCGATGCAAGGCAGTCACGGTCGAGGCCTATACTTTAGCATACAGCATTCTCTCGACTGCCCGCTGTCACTCGTAAAACGTACTTCCACAAGTTTCGAAGCCGGTCCAGGAGCCGGTCAGTGAGATACTCGAATGTTGCTTAGCGAATGCATGCTGCTCGTTTTTGCGGTGAGTTCGAGATCACCCGTGGATCAATGGCGCGTCACATGGGCTTAAAATATCCACCTTATCCATGACACATGCAACAAAAGATGTGATCCATGTTCGTGAAGAGTGTTGCCCAGCTCTAGGCATTGTTCACCCATGTCCTCAAACCCTTTATCACTCTGTGTAAATGACAATCGCTTACCTTTTGGCTGCTCTCTTAAGTTATGTCACATGAAGCAGAATAAAACTGATTTCTGTCGAATGGGGCCGAACTAGATTAAACATATTTCACTAGCATTTACTAACCCATCGATTTCGTTAATTAAAAATACACAAAGCTTATATTTGCTGCAGTCGTCATGCCTGATTACATGTTGAATGGTTACATCACACGTTGATTACACATTGATTGCCATCGCCCGCAGATCTGCAACGAGAAGGAGTACCTGCAGCCGTGCGCGCACTGCGACAAGAAGATCTGCCCGGACTGCAAGTCGGCGCACGTGGACGTGCTGAAGCGCGAGGTGGTGCGGATCAACAGCCAGGTGAGGCGCGGCCTGCACCGGCTCCAGGACATGCACCAGGCGGTGGACAAGAACGCCAGCACGGTGCAGCAGAACTGCCTGGCCGTGCGTGAGGAGGTGGAGAGCCTCGGCAAGCGGCTCATCAAGGCCATCCGCGACCGCACCGAGTGTCTGAAGGCCGAGGTCGACTCGCACATGGCCAGCGAGGTGCGCAGTCTGGCTACGCTCAAGGCCCACCTCGAGCTGGAGATCGCCAACATCGAGAGCAACTCGGACCTGGCCGAGAAACACCTGCACGACAACACCGCCTGGGATGACTGCGAGCTTATGGACGCCAAGGACATCTTCCTCAAGACTGTGGAGTTCATCCGCAACTTTGAGCACGACGTGCCGGGCGGCAGCGACTACCGGCGGCCAATCCGCTTCTCCGCTGCGCAGGATCCCAACCTGCTCAGCAAGACACTCGAGCACTTCGGCGAGCTCAACATCACCAAGAAGGAGCTGCAGGACGCCGTCGGCAACGGCAACGCCTCCAACGGCTTCGCGCTCATGCACTCGTCGTCGTCAGCTGGGCCGGGCCTCATGCGCAGCAAGTCAGACCACCGGCTGGTGGCGCAGCTCCGCCAGCAGGAGGAGCGCGGCCTCGCCGACGACACCGGCCGCGGCTCTCCCGCCAGCCGACGCCGCTTCGGCGACCGCGCCGGCCGCCGCGACAGCGAGGCTGGTCTGCATGGCGACGACTCGGCCGGCGGCGACTCTCCTTGCGAACGGCGCCACAAGTACCGCTCGCGATTCACGCGGCGCACGCTGGACCTGGATGACGACCTGGAAAGCTACCGGCCTGAGCCGTCGCCGGCGGCGCGAGACGAGCCGCGCGAGAAGAGACGGCCGCGCGAGAAGGTGCTCGACACGGAGGACGCCTCGCGCGGGCCGCTCAGTGGCATCGCGCGCATCGCCGACGTACCGCGCGTCATCCAAAAGCTGGCGGAGGCGGAGCGCGGCCCGCGGGTGCCGGAGGAGGCGAGGCCGGCGCCGGCCAAGGCCGCGCCACCGCCGCCGCCGCCGCAGCCCGCGCCCTGGCGCCGCCAGAAGAGCGAGGACGACGAGATCTCCAAGATCAAGAAGCAGAACAAGGAGGCGGACGCGCGCTGTTCTCGCGGCGGCGCCACCGCCGCCGCCGCCGCCGCCGCCGAGGAGGCACCGCCGCGCGCGGCCAGCGTGTCGCGGCCGTCGGTAGAGCGCCGCGCCTCGCAGCCGCCGACGCCGACGTCGACGTCGCAGCGGCCGCGGCTCTCGCGCGAGGAGTCTGGCAGCGAGGCGGAGGACTCGGCGCGCCGGCGCGCAGGCCGCCTCAGCCGGCCGTCGGCAGAGGCGGCCATCAGCGAGGCGGTGGCTGAACCGCGCCAGCCGCTGCCCTCGCGCAAGATCAGCGAGCCGACGCGCGGCGCCTCGCCTCGCACGGCCGCCGTCGTCTCGCGCAGCTCGTCGGGTGGCTCGCTGAGTCCGGGACGCGGCGGAGGAGCGGCCTCGCACCGCCCTGCGCTCCACCTGGCAGCGGCGCCCGTCGCGCTCCAACAGCTCCGAGTCGACCTCGTCTGAGTCGTCGGCCAGCGCCGCCATACCCAAAACGGGCGCCGCCTTCTCCACCACCGAGCTGAAGAGCCGCTTTATGCGCGGTTCGCAGCCGCCGCCGGCACCCGAGCCCGGCGCGCCCGCGGTACGGCGCGGCCAGCGGCGCCGGTCGGTCGGCCGCTGGCGCGACAGCGGCCGCCGCTGCAGCTGACTCAGCCACGCCCGCTCGGCCTCGATTCCAAAGTCGTTTTTTAGGTCGAGCTGGTACTCCCAAGGCAGAGGTCTCGAAAGAATCCACGAGTAGCGAGGACTCGTCCGAGTCCGAGTCTGAGTCGTCCGACAGCGACTCTGACTCGGAGGACGCTCTCGCGCGCGACTCGTTTCGCGGTCGGGCCAGCAACAACATGGCGAAGACCAGCATCGGACCTCTCCTTGCTCGGAGTGCCCAAGCGCGCAGCTCTGCGTCCGACGCGCCACCTGGCGCGGCCGGCGCCAGCCGGCCCTCCCGCAGCTCCACACTGGCGAGCGGCGTGCGCCGCGAGTCCTCCGACTACAGCGCCCCAGCCGCAGCCAGCAGCGACCGCTACTCGAGCCGCTACGGCGCGACGGATACGGCCGAGCCCAGGCCGTACGAGTCGCGCTACAGCCGCTACGGTGACTATAAGCCGAGCAACGGGTTGACGCGCTCGCGCACCTCGTCCCACCTCGAGTCGCGCTCGTCGGCCGTCGAGCCCGACTCGTACTCGTCCTACTCGTCCAAGTACTCGCGGCCGTCGCGGCCGTCCTACGACGACTACACGCCGCGCTACTCGTCCTACTCATCGCGGTTTTTAAACACAAGTGAGAGCTCTGCTGCGCCCGACGCGCCGGCGGAGGCGGCGCGCGCCGAGGGCGCCGTCGCCGCCGGCGGCCCGGCCGCTGCCGTCGCTGGCGGCGACCGTCCCGACGGCACGTCCTGGCATGCCTCCGCCGAGGAGCGCCGGCCAGGGCGTGCCCGCAGCACGAGCTCTTCCGACGCCGACGAGCGAGGGAGCGGCGGCGCACGGCCGCCGCGCTCGTCGGCGCAGCGAAGCGGCGACGGTGGCGCCGCCGCCGGAGACATGCCGCAGCCGGCGGCGGACGCTGCCAGCAAGTCCGAGGCCCTCTCCAACTGGGCGCAATATCTCAAGAGCAAGTACGGCTACTCCGGCAAGGACGGCAAGGAGAAGAGCAAGGTGGGTGCCGTGATCGCTTGTGCCAGGCTCAATCTCTTTACAGCTCAGGGAGCTGTCGTGTGAACTAGGGGATCTCCAGTTTCACTTTAGGGGTTTCGGGTGGAAAACGGTACCGTTCGAAGTTTGGCTGGCCTACCATGAAGCATGAGTTAGCAACGCAACGCGACCATAAAATTGGAGGCCCAACGAGCAAAAAAATGATCGTATTCGTTCAACCCCGTGGGCTGTTCATGACTGGCTTTCTCACGGCTGCAGGGGGTGAGCAGGAGCAGATCTTCGCACCTGCTGAGGCTGCTCCCCGATGACAGCCGGCCAGAGGAGGCTGACAGGGAACAGGTGGCGCTGCCGTCGCCCACGGCCGCCTCTGTCTCGCTGGGCTGTCCAGTGCGCAGCCACTACTTGCAGAAGGGTCGGCTCAAGTGAGTAGCGCCGCGCAGCTCTCAGGGCTGGTGCCACGATCGAGACGGATGCGGCAGCCTTATGAGTTGTGCTGAGGATACACGGGTCAGCTGTGTTCTTGGCTATTATGGGGGTATCAGCTCTGCTATGTCTGAACAAATATGTGCTGTGATCATGATAATTGTATGCGGGGCTTACAGCGCCCATAGTCGTGCGGCGCCATAAAGACGTTTACAATTGTCTGTGCTGCAGATTATTCAGGTCAAATGTTCCGCACTCACCTGGCGTGATCATGAGGAGCTGTCCGTTTCAGGTTCAAGATCGGCTCACGCGGAGGCGGGCCGGGCCTGTTCACCTGGCCGCGGGGCATTGCCGTCGGCCCCGACAACTCTATCGTCGTCGCCGACAGCAGCAACCACCGCGTGCAGGTGTTCGACCAGGCCGGCACCTTCGTCAAGGAGTTCGGCCAGTACGGCAACGGCGAGGCTGAATTCGACTGTCTGGCCGGCGTGTCTGTCAACATGATCGGACAGTTTATCATATCGGACAGGTGAGGTCATGCAGATCCGACGGGTCAGGTCATGCAGATCGGACAGGTGAGATCATGCAGATCGGACGGGTCAGGTCATGCATGTCGGACAGGTGAGGTCATGCAGGTCGGACAGGTGAGGTCAGATGGATCGGGCCGTCTCCTGTCAAATGAACAGGTCCACATGTATCGGGTAAGTCATCATACCAAACGGTTGATATTAAACTGATCGCAGCTCGTGCAGCATAACCAATTGGTCGTGTCGTGTGCAGCAAACCATGCCGCGTCGCAAAACTGCAGGCAGCTTTCTGGTGTACTCCAACCGGGAACATGAAATGCTCGACGAAAGGGAAACAATCTTGCAATGATCGTCGACCCATTCAACTGCCAGGCTCTGCGGTGTTCTCGGTTCAATCATGCACTTCTCCAGATGCAGCCTCCGGAACCAGACACGTAGTCGCGTTGATCTCTCTAATGTGCAAATGTACCCATTGGACCAATAAGAACAATGACCGCCGTAATCTTTCCATGCGTAGATACAATCACCGGATCCAGATATTCGACCCGTCTGGCCGGTTCCTGCGCTCATTCGGCCAGAACGGTGTAATGGAGGGCCGCTTCAACTACCCCTGGGGCGTCAGCACGGACGCACTCGGCTTCATCTACGTCTGCGATAAGGAGAACCACCGCGTCCAGGTAAGAGCCATCACACGACCAGCCACTCTAGTCAAGAGCTTTGTGACGTCTCAGGCACGTTCTCCTGGCGGTGTTCCAGTCTGACAGCACGTTTTTTTCAGTGTTCCAGTCCGGTGACATTTCGTCCTCCAGGTGTTCCATTCAAGCTACAAGTTCTCCTCCAGGTGTTCCAGTCTGACGGCACGTTCGTCTCCAAGTGTTCCAGTCTGACGGCACGTTCGTCTCCAGGTATTCCAGTCTGACGGCACGTTCGTCTCCAGGTGTTCCAGTCCGACGGCACGTTCGTCGGCACCATCGGCTCCGAGGGACGCAGTTCGGGCCAGCTAGCACATCCACACTACATCGCCGTCAGCGCCACCAACCGCGTCGTGGTCAGCGACAGCAACAACCACCGCGTGCAGGTCTTCGATGTCAACGGCAAATGCCTGACCACCTTCGGCGGCGAGGGTGGTGAGGAGGGCAAGTTTAAGTTCCCCAGGTGAGCACTAGATGGTGTTGGGTGCCGTAAAGCTGTAAACGAGCTACTCGTACTAGCTGCGCCAGCTGGGGTAATCTTAGCTGTCTGGTGTGCAATACTTTGTTCCATCATTCATCGGTTAAAAAACGCAACGGGTCACCGCTATCAGACCCAAATCATTTTGTTATGGGCACACTCCCCGTGCTGAATAAGTTGCATATGAATGTTTGGTCGGCCTCACATGCTAAATGATGATCAATTCGGATCCAGGATGGTCATCCACGTGACTGCGATTACCACAGGCTGACGAGCCTCCTCGTGCTGCGCCCCTCCCTGGCCGTGCCCGGTGCCTGCTGACCCGCCCCGTCCCTCGTCCGCTGACCAGGGGCGTCGCCGTCGACGACCAGGGCTACATCGTCGTCGGCGACTCGGGCAACCACCGCATCCAGATCTTCAACCCCGACGGCGAGTTTCTCAAGGCGTTCGGCTGCTGGGGAAATCAGGACGGCGAATTCAAAGGTACTGCACCGCCCCCGGCTCGCGCTGAGATGGCAATGGTCGAGCTGGCCCGCTGCACAACTGGGTGCAGTCGGGCTTAGGGGAAAACAATGTCTTGCTGGACGAGCTGGACATGCCTGATGATGTATCACAGGTGGTCTGTGATGCATAGGGATGGGGGGGGGGGGTCCCGCTTGCGGCTGGTTTTGGCTCCTCTCGGTAGCGCAATGTCCCCTCCTTTTTGACCTCCAGTGAACGCACGGCGCGCGTTCGTTGGAGACCCAGAGAGCTCTGCCACGGTCCATAGAAGCTGTGTTTTTGGCGGTCGTAACCCTGTCGGGAGCGATACTGAGCAGTGTTAAAATATATTTTTTTTTATTCTGTCCCGTTCTACAGAACTCGTTAACGAGTCGACGCAACACTACGTCCGAACGATCCTTTGACCTCCATTCAAAAGTCGTTCATAACCCGGTATGCGATGCAAGGAAACACTCGCATGGCAACGCGGGACACTTCATTAATTTCCTTAATCGCAATGGCCACATATCGACGGCACACGGCGCCCGCGGGTCGTGCTGCGACCTGCCGCAGCCCGCCGGCTGGTGCGGGGTCGGCTGGCCGGACCGAGCCGTCCCCGCCTACCCCCTCTGACGCCCACCTGCGCTCCAGGCCTGGAGGGCGTGGCGGTGACGTCCAACGGCAGCGTGCTGGTGTGCGACCGCGAGAACCACCGCGTGCAGGTGTTCTGAGCAGGCGAGTGCCGCGCTAGGGTGTCGGGGGGAGGGGGGGGGGGACGACGGGATGACGTGTGTGCCGCGCCCGCCGCCATCATGTCTTTTTCTGTCGCTTGTCGAAGGTCGCGTGACGCATCGCAGGCGGCCTCTGCCAAAGGATTCGCTGACGGAGCTTATCTCTTGTATTACGATGGCCTTCCGCAGTCACGAAGGTTGGCGCGGTGCATCATTCATCAACATGCAAACACGCCCGAGTCTTCACGAGCCACATCATAAAAACGGCACAGTTTGATCATTGCACGCCAACAACCCAGCTCCTTACGACGTACGGAATCAAATTTACGGTCGGGAGCGGCACGTGATAACCGTTGGCCGCTTTGCTCCCTGCAGTGTACAGTTCCGCCATCTGCAGAGCGGCGACAGTGAAGTGACGAAGTGAGATTTTCTCCCAAAATGACAGCTGACGGCTAGCGCTCTGCCACAGCCGCCGTGCTGCCGCCGCCCGGCGCTGGTGGGAGACCCTTCAGAACACGAGACGTGCCGCCCGGCCGCCGCGAGAGACATCTACCGGAACCCGGCCCAACTCCACACGGCCGCCGCAGACATCGCGTAGAACTAGCCAGATGTATTTGCTGACCGACTCCGTGTGTTCACGGAGTGTAGTTGTTCAAGTTCACCGGTGAAGAGAGGCTACAATGGCTCACCGGACCCATACGATAGTGCCTCCCTTCCCGCGCCGTCCCATTGTTTTGTATAGAATTTGTACGACGCCTCACGAACGACTTTGGAGCTTCATGACGCAACCGAGTATGGTAATGCAAAATGAGCAGGCAATAAATGAAGATCAATCCTATCACCGTGCGTTAAAACTGAGTCACCTTGTCACAACGGGCAAGATTTACATGATATATGCGGGATGATACCCATCAAAGCTACCCGCGGAAGACAATGATCCATCATGGATAAAACGTTTCCTTACGTTGCGGTGTGCGTCAGTCTTCGTACCCACACTGAAAGAATGCATTACCAAGTTCCAAAACTGACCACTAGACCGCGAGGAAATAAAGGCTACTTGTTCATGCCCTGATTACTGTGTGCATTATCTTCTGGCAGTCACACACATCACACACTTCACCCGTTAGACCACGGCAATAAAATCGCCAGGTGCAATGAGACGCTATTTAGAGCGGAAGTCTTAAAGCTCTCTTGTACACACAGCAGTTCTCCTGCACTTAAAGGTGCACCGAAACTGATCCTCCGCGTCCAGAGGTACACATTCGCGCATCCTCTTTCTTCGGAGGTACACACGTACCCCTTCCCGCGACTGGAGACATATATGCCCCATTTTCCGGTATCCAAGCGCGCAATAAGACCTGCCCTCAGTCACAGCTATGTCCCCTCAGGTATCGCACTATCCTCCCTCCTGTCGTACCGCGCGCCGTACCAGAGTCCTCTCATTCGCCCAGTGAAGCCGTGAAGAGCCGCTCGGCCAGCTGGCCGCACACCAGCCGACAGGCCGCTCTCGGAGCACGGCGACCGACAGCCGCCGCCCCCACACAGCCGATGAGGCGGGAGAGGCCCGACAGCCGGCTAGGACTGCGGAGCACGCGCCGCCGCCGCCGCCGCCGCTCGGGACACGGAAGGACGGCGTTCGGCGACAGGGGAACCACGCCTGGCACTGGTCCACCGGCGGCGGGGGGCCAGGCGGTAGCGGGCCGATTGCGCGGCACGAACGACCGCCGCCGCCCGGGCTCCTGCTCGCGTCCCACACGTCCACGGACGCGCGCTCCAAACTTGGGAGTACGCACAGCAGTCCGTTAAGAAGGGGTCTCAAAAAAAGAGACAGCCGCATTTCCATACGTAAATGCCTATCATCACCAAAACCGAAAGCCTTAGAACATATCGACCAGTGGTGGCGATTCCTCCGGCGCCACACCGGAACTGATACACTGAAAACGAGCTATAATAAAGAAAGCACAAACCTTGGAGCAGTGCTGGGACAGCACAAACCTTAAACATAAAACAGCCGCTAATTCGTCTTTGCTGTTGCTATAGAAGAGTGTGACATCGACCCGCACTGCCCGCGGAGCGCAGCACCTGCCATCTGGCGAGCGCGCCACAGACTCGCCACGATCGGCTTCCGCTAGCCCCCCAGCTTGTTGGGGATGTGCGACCAGTCGACCAGCGGATCGAAGAGGTTCCTCTCGTTGTGACCCTTGCGCTGCAGCTCGTGCCTGAAGTACTCCACCGTCTTAGGGATGCCTTCGCTGAGCGGTACCTGGGCAGTGGGGCGGCGGCGTTAGACGGTGCTGGGCTGGGCTGAGCAACGGGTTCTAACACATCACATCGCGCAGAAATAGGCGTGTGGCGCCGGCTCACGCCCTCAGAGACCCGAACACTCGACAAACGCTGTCCACCTGGGCTACGACGTGGCCGGGGGAAGCAGCACAACCGACACCATCACGCCGCAGGCCACGGACACTGCGGCCACGCCCATCCCTTGGCGCTGGCTGGGCCCCACACTCGGCCCTGTCCGCCCCGGCGCGGGACCCGGCCACGACCGGCCCCGTCTGATCCAACCTTGGGCTGCCAGCCGAGCAGCTGCTCGGCGCGCCGGATGTCCGGCTTGCGCTTCTGCGGGTCGTCCTCGACGGCGTCCAGGTACTCCACCTGGCTGGTGCCGCCCACCGTCTTCTGGATAATGTGCGCGAACTCTGCCGACCGCCGGCGCGGTGTGAGCGGCGCCACGCGGCCCGCCATCGGAGCGGTCGGATGCACAGGGACAACACCTCATCGACGGCGCAGGGCTGCGCACGACATGTAAGGGTTCCGATACGCGACCTTTTTCTAAATAAAAACATCTGCATTGCCTCATTAATTTGATACGCTTTCACAAGTGGTGCCCCAGCTCCTACATAGAGACGCCAGCCGGTGGAAATGTGACCGTGCGGCGGTTAGTGACGTCGCAGTGACGTCACTAACCACCCACAGTTAGTTACATACATCGATCAGCTATGCAATGACCACTACCAACGCTCAAGTTAACCGAAGACACGCTGAGCGTCCCACAGAGGTGGCCGCGGAGCCGGCGCGGCCGGCCAGCCATGCTGGAGGGCGGCGGCCGAGCTGCGGCAGGGGCCGTGTGACCCTGACCCCGCCCACCTTCGATGGTGTGCTCCACCGGGTTGCCCAGGTTGACGGGGCCCGTATGGTTGGACTCCATCAGCGCCACGAGACCCTCCACCAGGTCGGAGACGTACTGGAAGGAGCGCGTCTGCTCTCCCGAGCCGTAGATCTGCCGGAGCGGAGGCGGCAGGTCAGACAGCCGCCGGGGGGAGGGGGGCGAGGGAGAGCCCAGTCACCGGGACACGATGATACGCGCCGGGCACGCCGCAGACATTCGGCCAAACGCGTCCAGCGAGGAAGCGGGCGGTTGGGGGGGGGGGGGGCGGGTTGTGACCAATCACGCCATTGAAACAACGCCCCACGCGGCGGGCATGACACTGACACCACGCGACATGGGCCAGCATGAAACACGAAGGAAGCGCGCGCATCACGACACTGACACCGCGTGACACGAGCCGGTCGAGACACAGGCCCGCTATCCGCCCGTCTGCCAGAGCAGCGGCTGACACGGCCGCGTCCCCCTCCCCCGTCCCGCACCGCCGCGCGTCTCGAAGGCCGGTCGCGGCGCCGCTCTCACCGTCAGCGTCTGGTTCTGCAGCGCCTGCAGGATGAAGTTGCTGACCACGCGGCCGTCGTTGTTGTGCATGCGCGGCCCGTACGTGTTAAAGATGCGCGCCACGCGCACGCTCACGTTCGACTGCTTGTGGTAGGCGAACGCCAGCGTCTCGGCCACGCGCTTGGCCTCGTCGTAGCAGGCACGCGGCCCTGCCAGAGGAGGAGCGGAGCCGTCGGTGAAGGGCGGGGCCGAGCGGCGCCGCCTGGTTGGGGCGGGCGCTCTCGATGATGACGCATGCCGGGGGCGCGCCTTTCACGTGCGGTGAACTGCACCTGGCTTTTTGAAACATTATTTCTAGTGTTTCGAAAATTAGTAGCGCAGGAAATGCATTGGTCAAAACTACTGCGTTGCATCATATCCAATTTCAGGCACCAGAGAGCAAGCTTCAGTGATGGCTAGCCGTGGGATTTCAGTGAAACTAGGCTGCTGATTAGCCTGTAACTGTATCTGGCCGTCTGCGTGCCAGGCGCTGCCGTGAGTGCGCGCGTGCAACGGCGTCTCCCTACAACAGCACCAGTCCGGTTTCCAGCGGCGCCCGAGGCGGCCGGTACACTGACCGATGGGGTTGACGTGACCCCAGTACGTCTCCGGCTGGGGGTGCACCTCCGGGTCGCCGTACACCTCCGAGGTGCTGGCGATCAAGAGACGCGCTCCCACCCGCTTGGCCAGACCTGTCGGCGTCACAGCAAAGACGCGTGGTCATGGCACACGCCGCACGCCTGTCCCGTTCTGCCTTTCAGATGCGTATTGTCAATATCAATATCGAAAGCGATCCAACTAGAGCACGGCTAGATCCGTGCCAGGAATGCGAGGCCTGCCAAAAAAGTAATTGCAAACGACTGTACCACACAAAACAAAGAATGGTGGCTTGCTTTACAAGTCAAGTTCACCTCAGGATCATCCACAGCAATATAAGAAACCATGGCGTTGAAACTCACGCTTAAGGAATTCAGCTGGTGGTGCGTACCATCACCACACTGAGCGTTTTGCACTCACTCGCACAGCAGCGACACTGGGACATGCACAGCACGCACGCAAGAGCGCAAGAGGCTCACGCCAATCCGCCTCCCTGCCGCCTCGGTCACAAGACAACCTCTGCGAACCCCACTAGTCTTCGCAAACCATCCCACATGACCGGCGGCGGGACGCCGAGGAGCCCCCATGCCCCGCCCCCAGCCGAGCTGGTGGGCAGCTCGCTGACGCCCACCCGAAGAGCTGCCCCTCCCTCTCCACCGCGGCGCGAGGAGCCGGCCGCCCACGCCCCCGCCGGCCGCCGCTCACCAAGCATGTTGATAGTGCCGATGGTGTTGGTCTTGATGGTCTTGACCGGGTTGGCCATGTAGTGGGGCGGGCTGGCCGGGCTGGCCAGGTGGTAGATCTCGTCCACTTCGGCGTAGTACTGGTTGATGACGTCGTGCATGGCCATCTCGAAGTTCTCGTGGCCGAGCCACTGCTCGATGTTGCGCTTGCGCCCCGTGTACAGGTTGTCCAGCACGATCACCTCGTAGCCATCGAGCATGAGCCGGTCGACCAGGTGGGAGCCGACGAACCCGGCCCCGCCCGTGACCTGGTGACAAGGTCAGACAGGTCAGACGGGGACCGCGGGCGTAGCTACCTGATACAGCACCGCGGACGGCCACGGCCGGTCCCGTGCTGTACATCGGATATCACCGCACTACAGGCCGCTATGGTGGCGAGCGCTCCGTACGCAGGCACGGTGCGCGCGTCACCAATATGCAGAACCCCGCATCACCGGACCACGGGTCAGCGATTGCCGCTGGATCACCACCGGATCGTCATAGTACACACGCGGCACAAACACAAGTAATGTCGCATTGCACCGCACGTAAAAACACAGAAGCTTCCATGGCGATCAGCATGCGAAGCAGCGAATACATCTGCACCATAACACGCACCTCACTTACGCAAACATCCGAAGAAAACGAGTTTGAGTTCTAAGCCTGTTATCTTAAAGCGGCACGTGAAATACAAAGCAAAGCATCGCCGCTTCGCCCGCTAGGCAGCAGACACTCGCCTCACCAGAATGCGTTTTCTGTCGCGGTAATTTCTGAACTTGACCCTGGGGAAGCTTTTGACGCCGGCCCGCTTGG